CAAACAATCGACAGGAACAGCACGCACACTGCTGCTTCTTGGCGAGAAACTCCCAAGCCACAATACAACACTCCACCAATTAAAGCCTTCCACGAGCTAGATACCACCACCTACTTACCCATACCTATAAATATCCACCAACAGTACTCACAATTCACACAACATTCAGCCTTGATAATGGATGCAGAATGCATTCGAAACGCGTCGGCCAACTCATCGCTATCAACAACTTTTACCCGTCGTTCTAACAACGTTAAGACGGCTTATCGACTTCTTGAGAAGAATTCTAAGAAGAAAGTAAACCTACAGACATCGGTCTTGTTTAACAAAATTTCTCATAGTGAAGATACACCATGAAAATGGTTTAGTCGCATTATACCTATTTCTATTAACTTGAAGTTAAATGGTTATGTGTATGATTTAGTCGACGTAAAGTCAGCCTGTATATGATACGTACAGTGCCTCTCATAACATGTAACTTAAAACTTTTAGTATATTGTACGTGGCTGAATTACAATATATGATATCTAAATTAAGCTGTATTAGGGTTTTAAGTATATATGTTCATATACTTCAGCTGTAAACAGATATATAGTTTATGATTAGCTATATTGCCTGGAAAAAAATTAACATAATTAGTTATATCATTTAAATAAAGATATTTAAATAAGTGTTATTTTACTTGAATATAAACTATAATATAATATAAAATAAAAAATTCAAAAACAACTTGATCTCACCTTAAAATAAAATGTTTTAAATATCCTAACGATAAAAAATTTATTCGAAAATATGCGACAAAGACATGTCACCTTGAATTAAGATATTCTGTGATTTTGTTATATGACGCCACGTTATAAACGTTTAAAGAATCTTATTCGCATTGTTAAGTAGGCCATGTTCGCATGATTTATCATCATAATGCCGACTTAGATTATCTATTTAGATTATCAGTCAACAATTTTTGTAAATATTTATAACTGTACAAATTATATGCTCGAAAAGGTTTGCTTTAGAGATAACGATCTTTTTAAAATCGTTTTATTCTTATAGAATAAACACGAATAGCTTATAATTTTCTGAAATGGAATTTCCTTCAATTCTTCTGTAGTTTCAGTGGAAAAAAACAAAATTATGTTTGTATAAAGAAGCCCCAAACTTCGTTTGTCCTTAAACACTTATATTATTATTGCTTTTTAAGTTGATTGAACATTTTCATTCGTGTTAATCGTATTTAAGACTGGATGAAATATTTACTGTTCGTTATCTATTTTTAAAGATCATTATTAAAATGTAAATATATATATATATATATATATATAACTATTAGTAAATTATTTCATCACATTAGAACGTAAAGTCTCAAACTAACATTATACATCCATATATATATATATATATACGTTTCTTTCTTTTCTAGTGTTCCAAGGATATTGCAGGCTTCGGAATCATGTTCTGTATTGTATTTTTTGCCTATGCTCAGCTGGGTTACTTGTTATTCGGAACCCAAGTGAAAGATTTCAGCAATTTCCTAAAATCTGTGTTAGTATTTTATAAAGTATGCTTGTTTTGACTTGTAGTATGTTTCGTTTGTTTTAAGTTTTGGAAATATTTTAAATTTGTCTGATATAACGTTGAATCATGTGATAAAACATCGCAGTAACGTTACTACAGTGCTAACACTTTTTCCTAAAAGGATGTAGAGCTCGTCTGATTCATAATTTTAGACACATATGTTTGATATGTTGATAATCATTTATCTTGAACAAGCTGCTGGAAAAGCATGTTTCATGTATACATGTATACACTATTTTCTTTTTCAGGTTCACCCTGTTGCGCATCATTCTGGGAGACTTTGACTTCTATGAAATAGAAGCAGCAAACAGAGTACTTGGGCCACTCTTTTTTCTCAGCTATGTGTTCTTCGTATTCTTTGTCTTAATGGTGAGCAGTTCGAGAGAATGTTATGTTCGTTTTGTTGTTTACTGAGAGATATTGAATACTGTTGTTTTTGAGTATATTACAGAATAATATTTAAGCTATGTTTATTAGAGTTTATTTAAGTAAAAATATTTTTCTTACAGAACATGTTTTTGGCAATCATCAACGATACCTACTCAGAAGTAAAGGCAGAGATTGCAAATCAAAAGAATGAGTTTGAAATAGTAGACTACTTTAAACAGGTAAGTAGTTGTCGTTTTTATACCAGAACTACTTTTAATATAAATAATAACAAAATCAATAATTACTTTTAGTAGTTATCTGTATACGCTTTTTAATCATGAAATATTCAGCTTTTATTAACAGTACTTCGGTAGCAAACATTCTTTAGCATGCATGTAAATAATAACAATAATTCTAGTATTGTTAAATACGTTTTGTTGCTTATTTAAAAACTATACTTATGTCAGATGAAAAATGTTTGTGCTACAGACACAAGGAGCGTACATGTATAAATGTTAAATCTAAACATTTAAAATAAAATGCATAACTTAGGTTACTAACAACACCTGCATCGGAATGATAGTTCAATAAACTTACAATAAAACGAAATATATTAGGCTTGTAACAACACCGACATCAGAACGAGATATTTCAAGTAGCTTTCGGCAAAATGGCATATTTTAGGACAACAGCAATACCCCTATTTATATAATAGTTCAGGAAGCTTCCAATGGTATTTTAGTGGAACAAGTATCGTTTAATTGTGTATGGAAGCTAAATCTATATTAAATTAGATTTAAATGTTTGTTTACGATTTTCGCGAAAAGCTACACAAAGGCTAATTCCATTAGCCGCTACACAAAGGCCATCTGTGCTATCCACAGCCATTTTTTGTGTTACTTTAATCGAATATTAGGATTTGGCCACCACTCTATCAACGCAGATGCAGTCCCACAGTACGTAGTTCGGTTTTGTGGCAACAGGACACGAATCATTGACGTTCTAATTCATAGTACGGTACTTTAACTGAAGACCACGCCCGACCGATGAATGTTCGCAAATATTAAACTTATAAATAATTTCAATGCAAAACTTATTTTATTATAAATGAAATTTATTGCTAGCAACTAAGAGGAAAGAAAAGAATATTTGCCGAAAAATGTTTCATTATTATTAAGCACAAAAAGCTACAAGGTAAGCTGTGCTCTGCCCATCGCGGGTATCGAAATTCAAATTCAGGTTATAAGCACTAAACTTATTGCTCAGGCACCTGGAAGAGTAAAGAAGTGATAGCAGCAATGTGATAAAATGATATTTATATCTTAGTATCTACTTGAAAAACAGATTTGGCTTGTAGCGGGGCAAAATCAATTGCTAGTGTGTTAAATGGAACATTTGATAAAATTTTTCAAAATTCATCACATTTAGGCCTAGGTTACTTGCGTTCTAATGAATATTCAAATTAATGCTAGTATTATTATAATAATAATAATAGATAACGCAATATCTATCGTGTGTTGAACAAGCTACAGACAACTTGAAATTAGAACTAGTTTCGACACATTCGTGTGTTCTTTTTAGTATCACGTGGTTTTCTGGGAAGAAAGATAACCAGTAACACCTAGGTTACATTACAACATCCAATTCCCTTAAAAACACAGGTGGTCAGAAAACTGTATAACAAATGAAGTTGGGAATTGTTGATTAAGCAGACTTTTTATTTAATCAACTTTTTCTTTTTATGTAGTTATTCATTTTTTATATAATACTTGTTGGTTTTCAATCGATTTGATGGCCAGAATTTCTCATATGAAGAAAAGTGGCATGTTATGTTTTCATATTTAATATCCTCCTTAAGTTTAGAAACTCTCATGTCAACACTTTATGACATGGTATTATATAAACGCTTTGTTTTTTATCTCCAGGTGTCGCTTATTTGGAGTTAGGCTATTTTTCACGGGGTTCGGATATTTGTATTTGATTTTAATGTTGTGATTCCTTAATATTTTGCCCCTCAGTGACACAGCGGTATGTCTGCGGATTTACAACGCTAGAAACCATGTGGTTGGCAGAACACAGATAGCCCATTGTGTAGCATTGTGCTTAATTACAAACAAACCTTAATATTTTATCAAAAGGCTCAGTTTTTGTGTTGTAGCCAATATCGTTGGCGACCCTTTCTTTATCTTCGTGGAACAAGATTTTTCTGGCACTAAGATGGCAATTTGTAATGAAACGTTGTGAAAAATGGAGTTCTTTGAAAACAGAGAGTGGTCTAAAATATATTTCCCATTTTAAAATCTAATATTTAAATAGCTAAAGAAAAATAACCATGCAGTTATCAACATCTTGTAGCCAAACTCACAGTTTTTATTGACATGTCAGTAAACTTCTACGTGTGCACCATTAGTAGCTCTCAGCACATCTAACCGATATTCGATTTCAGTTCACGTTCGCTGGAACACGTCCACAGTTACAGTGACGATGACATTCGTTTTAGATCCGTCATGTTTGTTATAGGTGTGCGATACACGATGTCCTTAACATACCCTCTAAGAAGGAATTCTAGTGGAGAGATGTCTGACGAACGCGCCCACCCTACAAGCCAACCGACGCATTGAGTTTTTTTTTGCATGGTTGCCATTTTAGGGGTAACACTAATCAGTGGATTAAAAACAAAACAAAAAACAAGAAAAACCATGTCAATAAAAATTATTTCAGTTGGGCTACAAGATGTTGAAAAGTTTATGATCGTATTTCTTTAGTTGATTAATTAATAAATTATAAAAGAGGAAAAACAAATTTGGACTATCATGTATTATGCATGTTTTTAACTTCGTGTTCAAGATTTATCGGGTGGCATATTCTATAGGTTGTAAGAAATAATGGCTCTAAATGGAGAAGTAATCGATGTTTTAACTTGTTTATGGTGGTGTGAAAGAACTGAACATAACAACGAATTTGTCGGTTTTCGGTCTACAGAGAGAACTGGTCCCATGTTCTGGTATGTTTTAAAATGAAACCGGAAAATATAACGTTGAAATTATGAATTTGACAACATTCTGCTTTATTGCCATTTTACATGAACACTAACTAGTCTATGCATAATTATGGCAGTGAGATCGATAGAACGTTATTGAGACTAAATATGTATTTTTGTGTAAACAGAATGTGATATTGAATTGTTTCTTTATTTTACCTTCGTCTTCGAATACAGAATAAAAAAAGATTAACATTTTAATAATATAATAACAGCAGAAGCGATGAATATAATATTTTTTCTCAATTTTCTGCCAGGGAATCAACAATGTCATGGGGAAAATTGGCAAGCGTGATCATATTGTAGATATTCAGAACGCTCTGAAACTCGCCGATCAAGATAATGATCAGAAGTTGTCATTCGACGAAATGCGCCACACTCTCAAAAGGTGAGAACTATTATCTATCATTCTGTTATCTGTGTGTCAAAAACAGATTATGGTAAAAAATGAAAGCACATATATCTACAGCAACTAAAGTAAATTATTATTTTTAACTTTCAGACAAAACCTTTCAGAAATGGAGATTGAGATGCTGTTTGCAAAGTACGATCGCGACGGCAATCGGGAGTTAGACAGCCGTGAGACCAAACAGATGCTGGCAGACTTAGAGGGCGAGAAGACTCAATTAGATAGAGAAATCCAGATGGAACAGGAAGGAGTTCGTCCATTTAGTGCTGGTGGAAGAGAAATGTTCACAAAGTAACGTTAATATTTATCTTTAAGTAAGATGTTACATCTTTCTAGATTTAAGAACATGTTTTTTCGGTATTTGTTTACAAAGACAGCGGAAATGGGGAACGGGAAGCAATTGCCCCCAATTTTGACTCAGCAGTGAAGTGCCCTTCCTTTTGAATGGAGAATAAAGACTTACGTATAGTTATCATGGAAAGTCGGTGTTTTAGTCTTGAGCTCAATGGGCACGGTTAACATAGCAAATAAGGTACCTCCAATCCTGTTTTCAGGTAGGACAGCGGTAAGTCGACAGACTTAGAACGTTAAAATCCGGGGTTCGATTTCCCACGGTAGACACAGTAGATATCCCAATATGGTATTGTTCTGAAGCAAACAAATCTCCAATCGTCAGTGATCCCCTCCACAAATTTAACTATGTTCTGCTTCCTATGGTTGGTTGTGGCTTTAGTTGTGTGTTAACATTTTGTGTTTTTATAATCGATATTTTATCTGTAAAAATACAACTTTTTCATCTAAAACCAAAGACAGATAAGAGTGAAATTCTCCAAGAATTTATTGCACAACCACTAAAATAATCGAACATTTTAAGATGACAACCCATAAGTGGTTATGTGAAACTTCATAAAATATGTTACATCAGGCAACATACACTGTAACTGAACAACGCTACGTTTACTATGTATATTTACCAAATTCCCCCCAAGACTATAACTACAAAACATTTGATTATGACAAGCTTGTAACAAATTTTTATCTCATGATGACGATAAACCCATTTAGTATAGACGGCTGATATGGGTATAGAAAACTTTTGAGATTTGAAAGAGTGACCGTTATTGATAACGTGTTGTGGAGACGACAGTAGTAATAGGTGTAAGATTATAGGGGGCGCTGTAAATATTTAACCTATTATATGGTAGTTAAAATTAAGGAATAATTAGTACAGATATAAAACTGTTCCTTGGTGCTGCTTTAATGTGGGTTTAATTTCTTGTATTAGAAGAGCTTCTTTAGTTTTTCGTTTGTTTACTTTAGTTTCTTTACTTAACATGTTAGTAAGTTTCTATGGTTATACTGTGGTTATTTAAGATACAATGCTCAAAAACATGGGAAGATGTTTTTTTTTTTGTTGTTGTCGTTGTTGTTGTTTATTGAATCTGGTTTCCATTTTTTGGCTTGTTACTCCTATATAGAAATCATGGCAGTTGTTACATTGTATTTTATATATGACGTTGGTATTATGATTGTCAAAGTAGTTTTTACAAAGTATAGATTTTAATTTTTTACCTGGTTTTTGAATGAATTTAGTGTTTACTGGAATATTATGTTTGGTTATGAGTTTTTCCAAATGTTAGTAATTTTGTCGCTGATATCTGGAATATATGGTATGCAGCAGTGTAGTGTTCTGTTGTTAGCTGTTTCATTGTCTTTTGGATTATGATGTTGGTTGTGGTTTCTGTGAATAATTCTTTCGACAGTTTTTGTGGGATATTTATTCACGTTGATAAAGTCCTGTTTTAGTTGATTGACTTCTTCGTTAACGTTGTCAGGTGAGCAAAGTCTTGTGGCTGTGCTTATTAGGTTTTCTAGTCAAGCGCCTATGGATTTCTGTGTGATCGGACTGTTGAGAAACCAATGTCCTTGTACATTAGAAGGAATATGTAAGACATGTAGGGAAGAAGAGTGTGTTTTAAACATGATAGCCTTACGGCAGAACCTTTTTCAATGGAAACAACGCTGCAGGGATATTGTTAAAATGCACGGTCGTCAGATAGAGTATGATTGAACGTGGCGACTTTGACTATAACGACGTGGTGGGGTTTCGAAAGCGTCTTAATATAATATACTTAACCTCTGTATTTAGGCCTTATAACAAAAAAAAAACAACAAAAAACTGTAAGATGTTAAATGTTCAGGTATGTATGATAGTGTGGTTAAAATAAATGAATAGTTCTATTCTGAAAAAAATATATAAGTTGGTCTTCATTATATGTAATAGTATATATATCTCAAGTACCTCAATAGAATTAGCATTTATATATATATATATATATATATACGTATTTTTTTCTAGCCTGAACGTTCGGGTAGACAAAATGGAAGAGTCCATTGGAAACATTGTCATGAAAATTGACAATGTACTTGGGAACATCGACTTCAAGGATCAATCAAAGGTAAAAAAATGAGGAATTATATAAAAAATAAAATTATAACATCGACTTCAAGGACCAATCAAAGGTAAAAAATGAGGAATTATATAAAAAATAAAATTATAACATCGACTTCAAGAATAGATTATTTATAATTTGTATCACAGTTTTTTATGTATTATTGCTTAGTGAAGTACAAAACGACATGGAAGCTTGAAAAGATGGCAGTAGGTAAAAGGTGCAGAAGATTTCTGCAGAAGTAAGACCAACACAGCGTCAATATCAAATTATTGCCAAACATTTTCCTGTTTGTGAAATAAAAAATCCACTTAACACAAATGAAAGATAATAAGCTGATATATTTTAAAATTATTTTTTCCCACTTCTCTAAACTGCTTGACGCTGATTGTTTATAATAATGGATATAATGCCAACAGCAACAAAAAATAAAACAAAGTAATTGTAAATTGTGTTATACGTATTCTCAATGTAAGGTATTCTTAAGTAGTGAAAGTCCATAATCAACAGTCTTTGCTGAAGTTATTATAAAATAATATACAATATATATAACGCAAACATAATCTCTTACAGTTTAAAGTTATTTCCTGATATTCCTTATAAAATTATAAACACCATAAATGACATCACGACTAAAATAATTAAGTTTTAGCATTTACATTTTATAATTGAGCAAACCACTATAGCAGCCAACAACACTGTACATTAATATATATGCCACTTATTTTTGGAGTTTTTCTCTCACGAAAATATGTCACTGTTTCTGAACACCACTATCTTGAGATATATATATATATATTTAGGTAGTAGTGTTCAGAAACAGTGATATTTTCGTGGAATAAAAACTCCAAAAATAAGTGATATATAATTTTTAAATCTAATAATGTACAGTTTTGTTTCCTGCTGTATTTGGTTCAATTACAAAATGTTCAGTTAAATATTACCAACTTTGAGCAAAGTTTCAATTTTCAATGCTGTCATGTCATCAATATACAGTACTGGAAATAATTTTGGGCATGCATTCGTGGTATACATGCAGGAGTCACAAACAATTAGTAATTGCAACTAAATAGTCAATTTGTTATTAGTACAAAGTTTAAACGTATTGGGTGCAGGTTGGCCCTGTGATAGAACTCTGGATTTTGGAGCTGGCGCGCAATGCGATACCACAAACCATTTCCAGCACCAACTGTTTAATATTCTTCTGATAACTAAAGCTTCCCAATTTTCGAATCTCGCGTATTTCACCTTAATGATGATTTAGGTTTCAATTCCATACAATTAGTCTTAACAACAATCTTTCTAGTATTTAATTAAGTGGAAAATAGCTTAAAAACCGTATTCTGATTTTTTTTTGGTTGAAAGTACGAGACCAATATAACGGTACTTTAGGTAAATCGTAGTTTCAGAAAATGCATGTTGCCATCTTTAAATTTGTGTCAGATCATGGTTACCATTGCAATGAAACGTCGACTACAAATTTAGTACAACAATTCGGAAACTACAAGTGATAAAAAATCTTCATTTATGAGTCCACATGTATGTTATCTAGTGTCAGCTATCCATTGAACACATGACCTTAACTTTCTTGTGGTTTTCTTAGTGTAAAGCTACATAATGGGTTATTTTCACTCTGTTCACTGTGGGGAATCGAACTCCGGATTTTAGCGTTGTAAATTCATAAACTGACTGGTGACCCACTGGAGGGACTAATTTTGGCAGAATAAAGCATAGTGTACTGTAAAACAGTGTGCACATTAGAGTAAGGTGGAGCAAAATCAGAAAACATAAAAGTGAAGACAGCCCATGCACAAGTGCCAAGCTGCCTCATCTCGCAACCGATTATATTTTGAGTACAACAGAAGTTCTAACAGAGTGTCCATCCTTTCATTAAACATATTTCAAGTTTATCATAAAATGGGCCAAGTATGGTGACAAGCCTTTTCCAGAACTAGCAAGAAGGCATGAAAATGAAAACACAGAGACATTGATCTTATCAGTGGCAACATGGCATAGAAGATGCTACCAACATACAACTCAAAGGAAAATGTGAACTGGAAAAAAGCACTATAAAACACTTCTCGCGCAAAGGTCCTACTCCTCAAATATTAAACTTTCGTTAATCACAAGATAAAAAAAATTTCCTTTCAACAAAAAAATGCCTTTTTTGTGTGATGGTGAGCGCACAAAAGAAACCTACTTTACAAGGTGAATATGGAAAATACCGGAAACGTCTTCACGAAACTATGAAAATGACAAGTGATTCCTCATTAAGAGGGAAATTAAGCACTGTAATAGGTCCTGCTGATGCCCAAGCTGCAGATATGATATATACGAAAACATATTGGGCTGTTAAGGCCACAAAAAGTCTTGACATATCTGGAGACAAAGAAAATAAAGCTCCAGTAGTATCTGAAATAGCAAAAGAAATTGAGTTCATTAGGATTTTCCAGGAAGGGCTCCTGCAGTAGTATAAGTTCACTGTAATTACAAAATACATAAAAAATAAGAGCGCGGCTAGAGTAGGGGTCACTAGAAAAAGATTGAAGACGTTTATGAAGAACAAAATTGTTGATATTGAATTCCTCGAAGCTGCATGGAACAATGAATTCGATCGAGTCAGTATGAAAATTATCAATGTACCGTTAATTACCCTGGTAACCATAGTCAAACCAGGTTGCAAAAGATGACACTAGGAGTAACCCTAAACAAGTTTAAATAGGTTGTTTTCTTTCAACTACAAAGCCACGGCATTCTCTTTGACCCCTGACCGTACTGCTTAGAGCTCCTTTCATTACATAAAGAGCCTATCTTGCAGTCCCTATTCTTCGTTTGATCTCACTCTCGCATTTTTCATCTTCAATTTAAACCATCATTGATGATAATGATATCGACTTGTGGGGATTCTTTCTTCTTACTTATTCATTATTTTGTTTTTCTTGATGTTTGTACTAAACCCAAAGTCTTCGCTTATTTTGTTCACTATATCCACTATCTCTTGACAACTTTTCTGAAATTGAGCAGTAAGAAAAGCGTCGTCTATATATCTAACATTGTTTATCTTTTTACCACCTTTTCTAATTACCCTCGGGTAATTTTATATGTCGCATAATATTTTCATCATAGGTGTTATACAGGCTTGGGATTAGAACGCAACCTTACTTTATTATTTCGTTATATCAACATAATCCGATAATGTTTACCAATTTCGCAAAGCAGCTAGTCTACAGTATAATACAAGATGAATCAACTAATATGCCAGTGTTCGTATTCTTGAAATACCTACATTAATGTAAATATTCTGATATAAATAAAAAGGATATTGCAGACACCATATATACAAAGCAAATAAGTTGTGAATGAATTTGAAGGTTGTAAAAAGATACTTAGAAGAGAGTTACGAAATAATTATTTTTCAAATACAAAATCTGAGATAAAATATCACTACTATTAAAGATCAACTGCAATTTAAAATAATTTTGTGTATACGTTTTTATTAATTTTGTAATATATGTTTACCATAGGGAAGACATATGAAGCAATAGAAAAAATGCCTTTGTCTGTGCAAGAAGGACCTGATCAAGTATGCCTCAGTGATTGTGATTGAAGATAAGGCATTCACAATCTGAGCGCTTATCACGTTTTTTTTTTTACTTGAAATACTTTTACAATAAAAGAATGTTAAGAGTATTTGTTGCAAAAAAAATACATATTATGGTTAGAATTAGCCCGAAAGGTGTTTTAAATACTTTTGTACATTTTAGAATAATACTTTTACAATATTAATTTAATTCTCTCATTTTTGATTAATATTTTTTCGCTATCGGATTGATTTTTTTATATTCAACTAATGTGTATCTTCAGATTTAATTTCGATGTATATTCGCAATATTCATTAGTTTTCTTTTCTTTTGTTTTATTTTTATCATATGTTTCATTGTGCTATAAATTATGGGCAATTTGAATTGTTTCTTTATACTTAGATTATCTGTAAATAATATTGTTGAAAACCTCTTTCCTACTTCCAAATCAGTATTGAAAAACATTTTGAACCTTCTATTTTGCACGTTAAAGTTTTGTGCTGGTTGCTGTGACTTTCCACGTTGTTATAGGTGTTAGTAACACAGAAAAAGATTAAATGATCTGTTATTTAAATATCACGAATTAGGACATTCCCATGTCTGTACATATACTTAGTACACATCAAGATTACTCTTTCGCCGTATCAGTTTCTACGTAAAACCATTTATATAAGTATAATTCAGATATGCGTAAAATATATTATAGAAACAATACAACTAAGGTGCTTACTAAATACTATGAGTCAGAATGAGAGTTAATGGGTAATCGCTTGTTATCTACTTACTTCTCACTTCTTAATAAGAACATACGAGTTCTTGAAATATGACAAACGATTTTAAAATTTGAAAAGTCTTATTACATCATATGTCGTCTAACCTTTCATGCATAAGAAACAATAACAATAGCACAGGCTTTGTTCTTAATGAATCTGACTTTGACTGGACTGAGAAATTAATTCAAATGTTATTACACCAGCTTTTCCTCTTCGCTAATCAATTCTTAATTTTTAACAAAAGTGGGTATCACAGAAACACAATTTAATTGTAATTAGTAACTGAAAGTTTAACAATTACAAAGAAAATATACTTCAAATAACGCGAGTTAAATCTAGCAATTTAAATAAAAAAAATGTTCTCTGAAAGGATTCCTATCGTTTATAGTGTTTACCTAGACATAATACTTCAAATAACGCGAGTTAAATCTAGCAATTTAAATAAAAAATGTTCTCTGAAAGGATTCCTATCGTTTATAGTGTTTACCTAGACATAATACTTCAAATAACGCGAGTTAAATCTAGCAATTTAAATAAAAAAAATGTTCTCTGAAAGGATTCCTATCGCTTATAGTGTTTACCTAGACATAATACTTCAAATAACGCGAGTTAAATCTAGCAATTTAAATAAAAAAATGTTCTCTGAAAGGATTCCAATCGCTTATAGTTGTTTACCTAGACATAATAGTATGGGCTAACCAGTTGACATCTCTGAAAGGATTCCTATCGCTTATAGTGTTTACCTAGACATAATAGTATGGGCTAACCAGTTGACATTTCTGAAAGGATTCCTATCGCTTATAGTGTTTACCTAGACATAATAGTATGGGCTAACCAGTTGACATTTCTGCAAAAATCAATTAA